CCCCCCGCCCCCGCTGGGCGCCCGCGGGGAATTCAGGGGACACCGGCCATTGCGCAGTGCACACTGCACGTGTCGGGGGTTGTCCTGCCGCACGGAGGGCGCGAATCCCGGACGCCTGGCAACCCCAGCAGGGCCCTGGCCGGCAGAGCGGGGGCAGCCGGAGGGGGATGGGCTGCGCTGCCCTCGCCGGTGCCTTCCCGGGGTCTGTTTCGGGCCAGAAGGTGGCTGGGCTTGTCCAGAGCTCTGGCCTGAGGAGGGACGGACGTGGCCTGTTCCCGCCCCTCCTCCAAGAGCCAGCCTGGCGGTTCTGCTGCTCAGCCCTCAGGGGAGGGCTGGCCTGGAGCCTTGCCTGGTCTGGCGAACGCCTGCAGCCCAAGGCCCTGAGGGTCTTCCAGAACCAGCCCGCCCTGCTGCCGGCCCTCACAGGGTGCCCCGAGGCCTGGGCCGGGCCCCTTCTCATGGCCAAGCCAAGGCCATGCCCCTGCTGGCGGCGTCAGCCCTGGAGGCAAGCCTGGGAGAGACAGCTGCCCTCCTCCGCCATGGCGAGAACGCGCTCGGATGCCGTGTGTGGGGGCACGTGTCACGTTGCTGGATCTTGAGGGGAGCAGCCAGATCACTGCTGCACCCACAGGGGGGGTGTTGGCCCCAGAAATGGTATAGAAGGGGCCATGTGGGGTGTTGAATAGAAGCTCACTGTCTGATAGTCCTGTGTACGCTGGTCATGTGATTGTAGAGTGCCTGCGTGTGAAATTCTAAGCATGGACTTTGTATGGATACTGAATGTTTCCCTGCATGTGAGTGTAGAATGTCTGTGTGTGGAGCTAGGAATCTGTGATCTGTGTGGAGACTGAATGTTTCCCTGCATGTGGTTGAGCATTGGGCAGAGCCCGGCCTGTGGACATGCTAATCAGCGAGGCCCTGTGGGACAATTGCTCTCAATGGGCCAAGGACACACCTAAGAATGAGGCTGACACCTGAGGGCTGCCAGCAGGGAGCACAGGGATAGGCCGCTGGCCAGGTGACCTGCTGCAGCCAAGAAGAGGCCAGGAAGGAGGGATATAGGGGCCATGTGGCTGACTCCATCTTGGTTCTCAGCTCAGTTCTTCATCCCAGAGGCAGCAGTGCAGGGATCAAAGGGCCGGAAAGACCTGTGGACCCATCCTGATCCTAGGATGCGCAACAAGGACTTTTAAACCAGCAGCTGTAACATCTCTGCTAGAGCCTGCATCGAGAACTGGGAGATTCGATGCATGTAATGTACTATCCTTCAACAACCTCACTCTCATGCTTTTCTTTCTTGTGGTAATAAACCTTTAGATGTTAGATGCTAAAGGATTGGCCCAGCGTGATTTGTGGGTAAGATCCAGAGGGTAAATTGACCAGGGATCTGTGGCTGGTTTCTTGCAACCGGACAGAACTTGTTCGGGGTAGGTGGGATTGGGTGCTAGGACCCCCCACCTGTGTATAGGCCCGGGGCCATCTGGGGCACGGATATTGCTGGGGTGTCGGAGGGGTTTTGCTCGGGAGGCTTCAGGCAGGC